ACCCCTCCCCAAATAATCCCCAGAGCAGATCCTGGAGAGAACCAGCCAATTGTGAGTTAAACACGCCGGGCTGGAGAATCCACCAGGACCCTTGGAAAATAGCTCCAGGGGTTCATTCCCCTCACTGGTAAAACCTGGCGCCCCCTCTCCAGCCCGGCTGAGCAGCGCCCGGCGTCTCACACGGGTGGGGTCCGACGCTGGCCAGTGGGCTCCGGGCTGGCAGGGGCTGTGGGGGTGGGTCACCGGGCACCTGGCCCGTCACACACTGGTGGGGTCTAACGCTGGCCAGCGGGGTCCTGGCTGGCAGGGGCTGTGGGATCAGCGGGCGCCCAGCCCGTCAAACAGGCGTGGTCTGACGCGGGCCAGCGGGGTCCAGGCCGGGCGCATGATCCTCTCCTGGGGAGACAGAGGAAGGTTTATTCCATGTTCCTGATTTCACAGTGTGACCCCCCTTCTCCTCCCCCCACCCTTGGGGTTTTCCCAGGTCCCAGAGCCCCAGACGAGTCTCTGGGGGCCCTGCCCAATGGACAGCAGCTCCGGCGGCTGCTAACCCCGAGCCTGGCGTCGGGTGGGCACAGAGGGACTGGTCACCCCTGCTGGGCGCTAGGGAGGCGGCTGCGTGGGGTGTGTGACCTGGACTGGCAGCCCGGGGGCAGGGCCAGCCAGCGAGGGACCCCCACCCCGGTGTACCCACAATGCACTGGGGCAGGGCAGTCCCAGGGGCAGGGATCGGGCCCGGTGTCCCCGGGGTCACTCACTGGCAGTCAGGGCGAAGCTGCTTCTGCCGGAGTCTGAAATGGAGCAGAGAGCGAGCGCGTCACGACTGGGCACTGGGGGGGGGGAGGGGCTGAACTGGTTGGGGTCCCCCCACACCTCCAGCAATCCCTGCCCCACCTGAACACCCCCCTTCCCTGTGACCCCATCTCCACCCCCCCAGCCAGACAAGGATCCCCCCCAGCAATCCCTGCCCCTCTGAACACCCCACTTCCCAGTGACCCCTTCTCCACACACACCCCCAGCCAACCAAGGACACCCCCACCCCGCGGTGATCCTGACCCTACCTACCCCAGCCCAGTTCATCACCCGTCTCTGCCAAGGCATGAACCCGCCCCACCCCACAGCCCCGTGCCATGGGGCCGCCCCACCCTCCCAGAGGAGATTGTCGCCCTCTCTCTGCCCCTCCCCAGGCTCTACCCCCAGCCCTGCCTGATGGGGATTCCCCCACCCCCCGTCGCTCCCTTACCCGGGCGCTTTCTCCTCCACACCACGACGCCAGCCAGTGCGGCGCCGGCCCCAGTCAGCGCAGCGAGGCCGAGGGCGGCCAGGATCCCGGGGGCCAGGCCCCCCATCTCCCCGGGTGCTGCGGGGACGAGGAGAGATGGTCACTGGGGAGAATGGGGGATTTACCGAGTGTCTGATTCAGGGCCCTCCCTGCTCTGTCACTGCCCAGGGGGGCCAAGTTACCCCCACCCTGGGCAGGGTCCGGGTCATGCTGGGACCAGCCGGCTTGGCCTGGGATCCCCACCCGGGGCTGGCAGGGCCCTGAGCTGG